GCCTGTTCCATGTTCCATCCTTTCCTGTGGACATGCCCAGACCAGCATGGACCTTGCAGACAAGGATGACACAGTGAGGAAGGGAAAGACAAGAAACAATAAGGAATCTGTAATCCTGAATAGCCACATGGGTCAGGGCTGCCTTGAACTAAAGAAAACGCAAGTGTGTTTGGGGACCTCTTTATAACTTAGCTTTCAACCTAACACGTGTTACCTTTTGAGACTGAAGTCTCACAAGAGAAATAAGAAATCTCTGATGATATTTATTTCCTCTGTTTAATATAAGCCATCCCAGAATTTCTAGACATTTTTTTTTGTAAGTCCTGGGGCTTGAACCCATAGGCCCTGTCCCTGAGCTTCTTTTGCTCAAGGCTAGCACTCTACCACTTCCAGCTTTTTCTGTGTATGTGCTGTTGAGGAATCGAACCTAGGGCTTCATGCATGCTAGGCAAGCACTCTACCACTAAGCCACATTCCCAACCTACTAGACATATTTTTATTTTAAAGGCAATAATATAGTAATTATTTCCTAAGAGCTCATACAGCATAGCTTCACAAATTAAGAGAAATTATATACATATACTCTATTATATGTATATTCTAATATATGTGTGTGTGTGTATTTCTGTTTTTCTTTATTGGTTGTGGGGCTTGAACTCAGTGCTTGGGAGCTGTCCCTGAGGTTTATCACGCAAGTCCAGCACTCTACAACTTTGATCCAGAGCACCATTTCCTGTTTTCTGGTGGTTAGTTAGAGATAAGAGTTTCATGGACTTCCCTGCCTGGGCTAGCTTTAAACTGTGATTCTCAGATCTCAGCCACCTGAGTAGTTAGGATAATAGTTGTGAGCCACCAGTGCCCAGCTGAGACAATTTAGAGAATAGCCCATAACTCTTTTTTTTTTTTAATTTTTTGGGGGGGTCTGGTCGTGGGGCTTGAACTCTGGGCCTGGGCACTGTCCCTCAGCTCTTCAGCTCAAGGCTAGCGTTCTACCACTTGAGCAACAACGCCACTTCCGGCTTTTTTCTTTTTGCTTATGTGGTGCTGAGAAGTCGAACCCAGGGCCTCAGGCATGCAAGGCAAGCGCTCTACCACTGAGCCACCTTCCCAGCCCTAGCCTATAACTCTTAAGTTGGCTTCTCTGTATACATATCTGAGGGATGCTCACATCCAGGCCTATAAGAAAACAGGTACTGTGGTTGTATTCTTTTTGGAATGCTGGAAACAATACCCATAATTAGGGGAAAGTACTAGTAAAATTAGCAACAGAGTTTACTGTGGTTTGAGTGTTTCTCCAAGGCTTCATGTATTAATATTCCATCTTCATTAAGAGTTACACTTGAGCTGGGTGCTGGTGGCTCACGCCTGTAATGTGAACTACTCAGGAGGCTGAGATCTGAGGATTGTGGTTTAAAAGCAGCCCTGGCAAGAAAGTCCATGAGACTCTTACCTCCAATTAGCCACCAGAAAACCTGAAGTGATGTTGTGGCTCAAAGTGGTAGAGTGCTAGCCTTGAGAGAAAAAGTTCAGGGATAGTGCCCAGGACCTAAGTTCAAGGCCCACAACCACCACCAACAACAAAAGAATTCAATATATATCCTACAAAATTAAGAAGAGTGAAGGAAGGGTGGATAGGGGAGGTGTGTGTAAGACTGTTGAAAAGGGTGACATTGATCTAGATGTATTGTATTCATAAACTACTTTATTAAAAGTCAACTTTTCTATAGAACTACTTAAAGATCATTTTATTTTTTATTTTTCTTGTGTAAGTCTTTTCTCTGTTTCTTAATTTTAGAGGTGATATACAGTAGGGTTACCTTCACATGCATCAGATAATAAGTACATTTCCTTTTGCACAGTGTCATCTTTTCTCTCTTTTTCTCCCATTCCCTCTCTCCCATCTCCACTCAAGAGTCAAAGATACACACACACACATACACACACACACACACACACACACACACACACACACACACAGGTATGCCGGTCCTAGGGCTTGAAATCAGGGCCTGGGCTGTGGTCCTTACCCTCTCTTCAGCTGAAGGCTAGCGCTCTACCACTTGAGCCACAGTGCCACCTCTGGCTTTTTCTGTTCATGTAGTTCTGAGGAATCGAACCCAGGGCTTCATGCATGCTAGGCAAGCACTCTATCACTAAGCCACATTCCCAGCCCCTAAAGATAATTTTTGAAGACATAAAAAAGAGGTACAAAGAGGGTAGGAACTTACTATGATTATGGTGGGAGTAGAATGAGTAGAATAAGATAATATCAGAATTTTGGTGATTTTATTAAAAGGAGAGTGAAGACTAACATACACTACACACTTAGTACACACACACACACACACACACACACACACACACACACACACACACAAATGCTGTGAACCTCTTGAAAAGTGATGATTTTTACTCCCTCAGTTCTCCACCCAAAAGGCCACTGTAAGGTGCAGCCTCTTTTGTTGTTGGTGGTGGTGGTAGTGGTTGTGGGGCCTGAACTCTGGACTTGGATGTTGTCCCTCAGCTCTTTAGCTCAAGGCTAGAGCTCTACGACTTAAGCCACTGTGCCACTTCTGTCTTTTTCTGCTTATGTGGTGCTGAGGAATCAAACCCAGGACCTCATGCTTGCAAGGTAAGCACTCTACCACTGAGCCATCTTCCCAGCCCAGGTGTAGCCTCTTGACTTGGCACATCCAGAATCATAAGATGAAGTAAAACTCTTTATAATTTATCCAGACTGAAGTATTGTGTTATTAGCTACTGTGTTATTAGTAACACAACTCAGAGGCATACTATTATAATACCCAGCAAACTATATGCAGAATACCACAGATCCATATAAAACACAGGTGGGAATACAGACATATTGCGTCATTCCACCACACATGACATATTTTCTGAAGTATATATAAATTAACCATCATGGTAGTTACTTTCTGAAGAAGGAAAAATGGCTAGGAAACTAAAATTAGAGGGACAAAATAGAATAGGATTATGATGATGCTATAATGAAACCCAAGGGATTAAACACATACTGTACCTCAGGCTTAGACACACACACAGACACACACACACACACACACACACACACACACATCAAGCATTATTCTAGTAAGCCATATCTGCGAAAGAGATACTGAATTAAAATTGTCTAATCATTTCTTTTGCATTCCAATCTGCCAGTTTACTACAATGCATCTTGATTATGGTCATCTCTTTCAAAAATTACCCAATCATTTGGTTACACTACCTCAATGGATCAAATCCTTCAACCTCCCAACCCCTTCATCATTTCCAAGGGAACAGACACTTGACATCTAGAAGCATCTTTTGGCTGTCACCATTTGGATGAATGGTATCCCCAGGGTACCAGGGCTGTTGCTGAAAGGTGAAAAAGACTGCATCCATCTAGAAGAGAGAAGCACCAATTCCAAAACATCAGTATTGCTGTGACTCTGAAGCCCTGTGCTATGTTATTACATATTATATTCTTTAAAATAAATGTTATATATTTTCCATTTATGTGGTACCTAGGAATTGAACCTAGGGCCTCATGCATGCTAGGCATACAGTCTACCACTAAGCCAAATTCCCAGCCCTATTATTACATATTACAATACACTTAGGCTACGATTCTTTATACTTTGGGAGGCCACCCTCCAAGCCAACTAACAAGTTCTTTCCTTTTTTTTTAATTTCCTTACACTCCTCTCATCTTTGCACAATCTACCTAGGTTAGATGGCATGATTATTTACTCCAACAATAAGTCATTGGTATACTTAACCATCTCATGAATTTTAATTGCTCACATAAAATTGTGAGGGATACTAAGCTTCTAATAATCATGGAGAAAACAATTGATAAATTGCCTCTTACACTTTTTCCTTTCCTAAGAGTTTGCTCCTCTGAACAGTTATACTTCATGATATGAAGGATATCCAGTTTAAGATTCACTACAAGTCTCGTCTAAATCTTCAGAAATTTGGTAAGGGAAAGACTCTTCTAAGTTTTGGGGGAGAGTAACAGTTGGAAACAAACAATTGGGAGCAGGGATAGAAGGAATTTGAAAAACAGCTTGGGATGACAACCACAGAGGGACAAACATAATCCATGGTGAGTGAGGCAGGGGCTGAACCTCCGTGAATGGACATCTGAACCTAGGGTCCATTCACTGATAAAGAGGGAAAGGAAAAGAGAGACTGACGTTTTTTCATCTAGACTCCAATGGGCCTAATAAGTACCAGGTGAGATTTGAAAATGAGAAAGAAAAAAAAAAAAGTTCAGATAATGAAAGCTGTTAAACATTGTACTGCATGCCATGGATCTCCTGGGCTTTTGGCCTTGATTACTTTCCAAAAGGGGAGAGGGAGGCTCCATATCCTACATTATAGTTATTATATATCTGCTAAGGAGCAGATAAAATGTAACAAGAGCTACGATTTGGGCTTTTGGGTGTTTTCCCCTGCTGTTTTAACAGTTGTCACTTGACTCTGTGTCTTAGGCCCTCACATGATTGTTTCTACAGTGTCTTTAAAATTATCCCCCCACCCCAAACAAAACAAAAAGTTCATTTAAAATTATCCTCCCAAAACGTTATTCTTCTCCTCAAGGAAAAAGGTCGCAGAGTCTAGAACGATATTTCATTATCTCCAATTTTATTGATTCTGAGCAGTAGTAATACTACTGTGTTTGGATCTCAAAGCATTCTTGTTTTTCCTTCTCCAGATAAAAAACATTTCTCATTAACCTGGACATTATTTTTCCTTCTTTAAGAATTTTACAAATCAGGGTAGAAACACTGGGCACATATGCACGATTTTGTAAGGTACATCCTTCTTGCTGATAGCCAAGAACTACATTGCCTTAGTAATCACCCTCCTGTCTCTTTAACAAACTGAAAGGGAGGAGGAGGCGGGCCTCCGCGGCGGCGGCGGTTCTGATTGGCTCTCCCGTCCGGAAGTGGGCGGTGAAAACGACGCCTCAGTGTTTGGTCCGGGGCCGGAGGAGGGTTTCGGGCTGCCGCCTCGCCCGGGCTTTTAGTTCGGGGTCTTGGGGGTGCAAAACGGGTCCCGTTCGTTGCGGTGGGTTCCGAGCGCTGTCGGCCCTGTGGCGGCGGTGCCCGGTCTCTGAGCGTGGGCTGCGGGGGGCCCCGGGGCCCCTGGGGCCGCGGACCCCGCCGGGGGCCCGAGCGGCCGGGCGTCCGGGGCGCCCCGCGCGGCGCGGCCGCCGCCCTGAGCCTCTCTCTCCCCTGTTCTGCAGGCTCGCCGCCGGCGTCATGGCGCAAAGGGCCTTCCCGAACCCCTACGCCGACTATAACAAATCCCTGGCCGAAGGCTACTTTGACGCCGCTGGGAGGGTGAGTGTGGGAGTCGCCGGGGCGCATCCCTCCCTACCCCACCCCGGCCCGGCCCGGCCCCAGGCCGAGGGAAGCTGGGGAACTGGGGGAGCTGGGTCGTGCTGCCCCCCCCCCCCCAGGCCCCAGGCCGAAGGAAGCTGAGGAAGCTGGGGAACTGGGTCGTGCTGCCCCCCCCCCCCAGGCCCCAGGCCGAAGGAAGCTGGGGAACTGGGGGAGCTGGGTCGTGCTGCCCCCCCCCCCAGGCCCCAGGCCGAGGGAAGCTGGGGAACTGGGGGAGCTGGGTCGTGCTGCCCCCCCCCAGGCCCCAGGCCGAAGGAAGCTGGGGAAGCTGGGGAACTGGGTCGTGCTGCCCCCCCCCCCCCAGGCCGAGGGAAGCTGGGGAACTGGGTCGTGCTGCCCCCCCCCAGGCCCCAGGCCGAGGGAAGCTGGGGAACTGGGGGAGCTGGGTCGTGCTGCCCCCCCCCCAGGCCCCAGGCCGAGGGAAGCTGGGGAAGCTGGGGAACTGGGTCGTGCTGCCCCCCCCCCCCAGGCCGAGGGAAGCTGGGGAACTGGGTCGTGCTGCCCCCCTCCCCCCCAGGCCGAGGGAAGCTGGGGAACTGGGGGAGCTGGGTCGTGCTGCCCCCCCCCCCCAGGCCCCAGGCCGAAGGAAGCTGGGGAACTGGGGGAGCTGGGTCGTGCTGCCCCCCCCCCCCAGGCCCCAGGCCGAGGGAAGCTGGGGAACTGGGTCGTGCTGCCCCCCCCCCCCCCAGGCCGAAGGAAGCTGGGGGAACTGGGGAAGCTGGGGAATGGGTCGTGCTGCCCCCCTCCCCCAGGCCGAAGGAAGCTGGGGAACTGGGGAAGCTGGGGAACTGGGTCGTGCTGCCCCCCTCCCCCCCCCCAGGCCGAAGGAAGCTGGGGGAACTGGGGAAGCTGGGGAACTGGGTCGTGCTGCCCCCCCCCCCACCAGGCCCAAGGAAGCTGGGGGAACTGGGGAAGCTGGGGAATGGGTCGGGCTGCCCCCCCCCCCCCAGGCCGAAGGAAGCTGGGGAACTGGGGAAACTGGGTCGTGCTGCCCCCCTCCTCCCCCCCACACACACACCTGCCTCTCCTCCAAAATACGTGACAGAGAGAAACATGGGAATTACTTTAACTGGGTAGAAGACATGTCAAAAAATTAAGCCTGCGCTCCACCCCGGGGGTCTTAGTAGCGACTGGAAGAAGTAACTTCGGAACAGACGTGATAACGCCTGGAATTGCACTTCGGAGATGGCTTTTGGGGAGATGTGAGGAGCCCCGGTGCCAGTCGGTGGTGTCAGGTTCTGCCTTCCTGATTTCACACCTTGGGGACAGGGGGAGTCCCGAGAGCACAGAGGGGGGGGGGGGCATCTTTGAACCGACCATGAGGAGAGGGATGGGGGAGATAAGCCTGGAGTTCTTTGTTGCCTAGTCACTCCTCCCCAAAGCAGGGGGGTGGGGGGAAGGGAGTGGGGTGGGGAGGTAGCAAGTTCTGCATTTGGAAAGAAAACCTGGATGTAATAATACCAGGATCCAGTTCACCCATGCTTGTTTGTGAATGTAGCAGTTAAGACAGAATACACTTTTTTTTTTCTTTTTTCTGTTTTTTTCGGTAGTGGGACTTGAACTCTCGGCCTGGGCGCTGTCCCTCTCAGCTCTTCAACTCAAAGCAAGCACTCTGCCACTTGAGCCACAGCACCACTAACAGTCTTCTGGTGGTTTATTGGAGATGAATCTCATGGACTTTCCTGCTCCGCCTGGCTTTGAACCACGATCCTCAGATCTCAGCCTCCTGAGTAGCTAGGATTACAGGCGTGAGCCACCAGCACCCAGCTCAGAATAAATACACTTTTTAAAAAAACCCAAATACCTAGTTTTGAGAAATCCTGAGTTCAGTTGGAAGAATGCATGCACATTTTTTTTTTAAAGTTCGTGTATTCCAAATTTGTCATACAAAAAGCATTTCAGCCAAGCACCAGTGGCTCACACCTTAATCCTAGCTACTCAGGAGGCTGAGTAGAGTTCTAAGCCCTGGCAGAAAAATCCATGAGACTCTTCAGTTAACCACCAAAAGCCAGAAGTGTAGGTGTGGCTCAAGTGGTAGAGCATCAGCGTTAAGGGAAAAAGCTTACTAACAACACCCAGGCCTTGAGTTCAAATCTCCTAAGGCACAAAAATAAAGCATTTCACATGCAATATAATATAGATTTGATGTATGTCAAGTTAACTTTCTGTGTTTCTTATGCCTTCCTCCCTATAAACACTTGCTATTTTAGATTAAATTAGGTCAGTAATGCAGGTAGGAGGAATTAGCATTCCCATTTGGTGATAGAGATTATTACAGAGCACTGGGGTTTGAATTCAGGGCTTTGTGCTTGCTAGGTAGGCTTTCCTACCAGTTAAACCACACCCCCAGACCCCTTCTGATATTTAAAGACCAATGTTGAACTGCTCAAACAAAGTTTTGTGGTGGTTTTTTGTTTTGTTAAATTGTCCATTTGGGCTTGCATTTTGCCTACTTCTGCAGATCCCAGAGCTGAGGTAGATGTCTGGTCTTGTTGGAGCAGGAGGTGCTGCTTCATGCTCGCTTGGCTGAGAAAACACTTGAGGGTGTGTCCAGATGACAGTACCTTTCAACACAATGTAGCTCATTCTTTAGGCTGCCAATAAATTCATGCATTTTACATATTTAATTCAACAGGGAAAAAATGACATAAATCTAAACTCTGATTCCCAAAATGCTAATGCAATGTAATATGTAATATAGCTTAGGACAGGTCCTACCAAGAATCTATCATACCAGTTCATATCCTAGAGATCTGTCCACTTTAATATGTTAGCACAGAGATCTCAATTAGGAACTGAATTGTTTTCTAGCACCCATCAGGAAAAGGGGGGCTTTTAGAGACTCTTCTCCTTATTGCTAGAGTTTGAATGATTTGGCGGTCTGCCACAGGTAATCAATATTCTCAGGCAGGTCACCTTTATTAAGTGTATTATATGCCAGCAGAAAGTAACTCGCCTGAGGCCGAGCTGCTTTCGTTATTCCTGGCCTCTTGAAGTCAGGCCAGGCAAGCTGATAAATTATACATGATGGATGTGTGCAAAGACTGCTCGTTCTCATATGGATCCATATCCTCTGTCTACCTGAAATTCACAGACTTTCATATGAAGATTGAAGTACACTCTATCTTGCTACACAGATCTTCAGGTGTTGTTGCAGCTTAACCTGTAGGCAGAAATTGTCAAATGATGAGGAAGTGTGTGTCAAATAGTACAGCTTCTTCCTTACACTGTGTCTCAGCACACACCTAGATACAGTGGAAAGTCTGACTTACTTGCTTAAGAATGCTCCTCGGAGTAAATCTCTGGGTTTTTTTTTTTTCAAATTATTTCTGTTAATTCCAATATTGCTGTTTTCATTGTTTTTCAATGTTAGGATGCTCCTTTAAAAAAAAATGTGCTGGGTACCAGTGCTAAAATCTGTAATTCTAGCTACTCAGGAGGCTGAAATCTGAGAATCCAGGTTTGAATCCCGTCTGGGCAAGCAAGTCCATGAGACTGTATGTCCAATTAAGCACCAAGAAAGCTAAAAGTGGTAGAGCACTAGCCTTCAGCACAAAAGCTCAGGGATAGGGCCAGTCTCTTGAGTTCAAGCCCCAGGACAGGCAACCCTCCTACCTCCACCCCATGAGATCTGATATATTTGAGAATCACAAGTCAGTTCCTAAAATGATGGATACATTAAAGTGACTTTTTATAACAGCTGATGATTCATTTTTGGACAGAACTTTAAAAGTATTTTTTTTTTCTAATACCTTTAGGGAGGAGATGCCTGTAGGAACATATCAATTGAGTGAGGGGAAGAGGCCAGTCTAGTGTGTTCTCAGTCCACAGCCAAATTCTTAGTTGTCATGAACTTTGTAGGCTGCTAAAGAATAGTAAAAAATGTCAATATCACTGAATGAGACAGATCTGCAGCACAATCTCATTTAATCCTCAAAACATCTTTTGAATTGGTAGGGCAGATGTTGTTATTCTGACTTTGTGAGAGTCATTGAAGCATGAAGAAGTTAGAAGGGGAGCAGAATCACTAGCCTAATAACAAAGCTGATTAGGCAGTGTTTAGCAGCTCTTCCTTTTGACAGGCGTTGTATGGGGTGTGAGTTTTTGGTTTTAGGTTTGATGTTCTTTCCACTCTGCTTGAGGGTCATAATCTATGTAAATTTGTTTTACTTCTTTATTTTATTTTTTGTTGGTCATAGGGCCTGGGTGCTGTCCCTGAGCTTTTTGGTTCAAGGCTAGTTCTCTACCACTTTGAGCCACAGCACCGTTTCCTTCCTTTTTTTTTTTTTAATGCTACTTTAATTTTTGGTTTTTAAAGCTTGTCTAGTTTTGAAAATTATAATACCAATTACAGTGTTGCTTTAGAAGATTAATATTACTGCTGGAATCAATGGCTTGAAAACATCAAATATCTTTTATGCTTCATTTAATAAGCTAATTTCTTCTTTTTTTAGACAGGGTCTCTCCATGTAGCTCAGGATGGCTCAAATTTGTGATTCTACTGTCTCTACATCCTGAAGGCTAGGATTACAGGTGTTGCACAGGCCCAGATCAAAAGAACATTTAAAATTTTACTTAAATGGGTTATATATACTCCTCAAGGTAGAAAACTTTAGTTTTTGCCTTGAGTGGAATTTTTTAAAACCATAATAGTGTTTTTAAGTTTTATTCACTGTACTGTCCCTACTTGTCCAGTTATTCCAGGCAGAGATCTGGCCTTCATAAAAATGAAGTATGGTGGCCTTTTTTTCCCCTCTCTCATTTCTTTTCCCTTCATGTTTACAGCTGACCCCTGAGTTCTCACAGCGCTTGACCTGTAAGATTCGAGAACTCCTTCAGCAAATGGAGAAAGGCCTCAAGTCAGCAGACCCTCGGGATGGCACTGGTTACACGGGCTGGGCAGGTATGCCATGTGTGCTGACTGTGAGTTAGGGTGAGCATTGTACATGAGAGCCAAAGCAGAGCCTTCCAGGGCTGTGCACTGCATGTAGCAACATGTGCTCTGATGCTTCTGCACGTGAGTCACTTCTCCCACTCAGCCGTTCACTTTCTTGGTTATTTACAGGGCCCTAAATAAAAGGCAAGGTAAGCATACTGTGGTATTTGTGCCTGACTGTGCCCATGAGAAAAAAATGATTTTCACCATTATGTAGTTCATTGGAATTTCAGTGGGAAGAATTAGAAAGGACTGTAAACAACCAGTGCCTAAAGCTAGTAAGAGGACTTATTGTCAGGAAGTAAAACTGTCTGCAGGTGTATATTTTTAAACAGTTGCCCCATAACAGTGATCAGTAGAGAAGCACAGGATAAAGGTATCAGTGCTGTGAACTAATCCTTCCCGACAGTCACTGTTGGTTGCTTGTCACTTGCTATTACCAGTCCTGGCCATTCAGTTCTTGGGGCAACTTTGGGAAGAAATAGTCAATTGTTGTCCAAAAAAAAAAAGGAAAACTGAAGAACTATTAGTTTAAATAGTGTAGAGAAAAAAAAAAATCAATCTTATAATTTCTCTCTCTCTTTTTTTTTTTTTCCAGCCCTAGAGCTTGAACCCAGGGCCTAGGTGCTGTCTCTGAGCTTTTGTGCTCAAGGCTAGTGCTATACCACTTGAGCCACCACTCTACTTCCAGCTTTTTTGGTACTTAATTGTAGATAAGAGTCTCACACACTTTGCTTCCCAGGCTGCTTTTGAACCATGATCCTCAGATCTTGGTTTCCCAAGTATGTAGGATTATGAGCATGCACTTCAAGTGCTTAGCTGCCATACATCTCCTTCCTCCCTCCCTCCCTTCCTCCCTTCCTCCCTCCCTTCTTTCCTTCTTTCCTCCTTCCTTCCCTCCTTCTCATTCTCTCGTTCTTTCTTTCTCTCTTTCTTTCTTTCTGTCAGTCCAGGGCTTGAACTCACAGTCTGAGCACTGTCCCTGAGCTTCTTTTACTCAAAGCCAGCACTGTACCACTTGAGCCACAGCACCACCTCCAGCCTTCTCTGTTTATGTTATACTGAGAAATCGAACCCAGGACTTCATGCATGCTAGGCAAGCACTACCACCAAGCCACATTCCCAGACCACCCATATAATCTTAAAGGACCATCTAGCATCTCACAGTGTTCCACACTTTGACAAATGGGAAGGAAGAACAAATTCACAGTTTAAGGTCTCTGAATCAGATTTGAAGCCCTAGTGCCTGCCATTAAAATGCAGGTTCCTGGATCTCACAGCAGAGCTTTTGATTCAGGAGATCATAAATTGGACTTGGAAACGAGACTTGGAATTGGGGCTTGAAACCAGCCAGGGCACTGTCTCTGAGCTCTTTTGCTCAAGGCTAGCACTCTGCCACTTAGAGTCACAGCTCCACTCCTATTTTTTGAGTAGTTAATTGGAGATGAGTATCTCATGGGTACTTTTTTGCCTGGGCTAACTTTGAATTGAGATCCTCATATCTCAGTCTTGTGAGTAGCTAGGATTACAGGCGTGAGCCACTGGTACCTTGCTTCAGAAATCATTTTAGAAGCAGCAGCAGATCTGAAATAGACAATAATCTAGCATCTGTAGTTTAAGAGCTTCTTTCTGAGAGACTGTACTAATTTCTTTCTTTCTTTCTTTCCTTCCTTCCTTCATTCTTTCCTTCCTTTTTTTTGGTTATGTTGCTTGAACTCTGGGGTTGGGCACTGTCTCTGAGCTCAAGGCTAGTGCTCTACCAGTTTGAGCCACGTTGCCACTTCCAGTTTTGTGGTGGTTAATTGGAAATAAGAGTGTCACAAACTTTTCTGCCTGGGCTGGTTCTGAACTGTGAGACTTCAGATCTTAGCCTCCTGAGTAGCTAGGATTACAGGCATGTAAGATTACAAAGCCTGGCACCAGGCTATGCACTCATTTATTAACAGTCCTCCTTGTTATAACAAGTGATTATCAGGATATTTTACCTTGTAGGGATGGGAAAGGCAGATAAAACCTGTAAAATCATAATCTTAGGAACTTTAATGTCAGCATTTTATATAAGAAGACTGTAAAACTTAGTTTTATGATTTTTGTGTCTTGTAGTTTAAACACAGAAATGTTGAGAGTAAATGGAAGTATTTTATTTCAAGAAGAGTTATCAGATCTATTATCTCCAGTATTGTAGATATAATGTAATTGGTAGATTAATCCCATTAGTGAACTATTCTTTATTTTATAATTGTACAACTTGAACAAAATGGGACAAATGCACAATTGTCTTTAGCTTACTGCTGCATTATCTATAATTCATAAGGCCCAGACTTAAAGAATTTTTTTCCTAATATATTTGGAGGTTTTAGCATATTATCCTTGGCTAAATACAAAGACAGAGAGGAAGGGGAGGAGAGAGAGACTCAAAAAGTTTAAAACAGAGGCCTAGATTTAATTCTAGAACAAAAAAAAGAATGATTTGTACCCCTAAGCCATCCATTTAGATGAGCTTAGATTATCCCTTATTATAAGATACCCAGCTTCAGGGGTAAACAAATAGTGATTGATCTCAAATTGGCATTTGTAGTTTGACAATGTCAGGAAAAGCAATCCATCAGTCTCTAATGCTAGTTGAAAAGCTGACAGTTGAGTTTTCTTCAGAAAAACAAAATAATTTTTGCTCCAAAGTAAAATACATATTTGTTTGTTTGAACTTTGGGCTGTATGAATTTTTGGCACCATCTCTTCTAAGTGCCAATACCTTTCTCCTTAGCTGTCTGTGACACTCACTGCTGTCTCTGAGAACAGCTTATGCACAAGAGTCTGAAGCAAACTGGCACAATAAGCAGTTTAGGATGTCTTCAGCTGCCGTTTGTTTTATACTGTTAACACAAAGGCTTATAGATAAATTTGCTAATGGCTTTTCAGGCAAGGTTCCTAATGTCCTTAATCAAACATTGTTAAAAAGTCCATGTTTCCACGTGAACTAGACTGTCTTCTCCGTGTTTTGTTTTGTTTTGTCAGTTGTAGGGCTTGAACTCTGGAACTGGGCGCTGTCCCTCAGCTCTTCAGCTCAAGGCTAGCACTCTACCACTTGAGTCACAGTGCCACTTCGTTTTTCTGAGTGTTTTTTTGGAGATAAGAGTCTCATGGACTTTGAACCATGATCCTCAGATCTCCTCCTGAGTAGCTAGGATTACATGTGTGAGCCACTGGTTCCTGACTCCTCCGTGTTTTGATATGCAAAGTTCTACCACGTGTCAGTGTTCAGACAGTCTAACTGGCTCAAATACAGCTCTGAGTTTCATAAGAAACTAACAGTGGGGCTGGGAAGGTGGCTCAGTGGTAGAGCGCTTGCCTTGCATGCCTGAGGCCCTGGGTTCGATTCCTCAGCACCACATAAGCAACAAGAAAAAAAGCCGGAAGTGGCACTGTGGCTCAAGTGGTAGAGAGGTAGCCTTGAGCTGAAGAGCTGAGGGACAGCGCCCGGGCCCAGAGTTCAGGCCTCACAACCGGACCAAAAAAAAAAAACAAACAGTGAGTTAGCCACTGGAAGGATAGTCCTAATACCTTTTCCTTTTAGGGTATAGCCTACCACTACTGTCTGTTCATCATTGCAATTTTATTGCCAAATAAAAATACATGGAATTATATATCAAATATTCATATAATGATGTGTGTATTTTGTTTTTATGTGTACATGCCACGTTGTCTTTTCATTTCTTTTTTGAAATGACTTGAAGGATTTTATTTTGTGTGTGTATGTGTGTGTGTATGCATATGCATACACACACCCCTACTGGGGCTTGAACTCAGCTTGTGCATTGTTCCTTAGCTTTTTTACTTAAGAGTAGTACTCTCGAACTACAGCTCCACTTCTTGTGTTTTGGTGCTTAATTGGAGATAAGAGCCTCACAGTCTTTCCTGTCCAGGCTAGCTTCAATCTATATTCGTCAGATCTCAGCCTCCTCAGCAGCTTAGATTACAGGTCTGAGCCACTGGTTCACACTGATACTATACTAACTAACTTTATCATCTTACTTGTTATGTCTCAGCTTCAGTAGTACCATAGTCTGACATCTAAGAGAATGATAATTTGGAATAGGATTGTTCCAAATAACCCAAATGTACAAATTTTGGGGAGGAAGAAGGATGATAGGTATAGGTTTAAACAAAGTTTAAAGAAAGCAAATAAAACTGTGTTACACAGTACTTTCTGCTCACTTTTCAAACCATTTTTACAGTTGAAACTCTCTTGGCTAGCACAGAGGCTGTGACGAAAGGATGTGATTAGAATTGAGATATATGCTACACCTACGAGTTTTAATGGTGTAATACCAAAACCTGTATCTCTGTTCAGAACAGAAAAACAAAGGGGAGACAGGCGGGGGGAGGGACTGTGGGAGAAAATGACAAGAACTGTACTAATTTCCTTATGTAACCGTAACCCCTGTGTACATAACCTTTACAATAAAAGAACAGAAAATGCCCTATCCCTGGAAAGAAAAAGAGGCAAGACTTTTTAAACTCCAAAGCTGTCTCATATCGTCATTATTGCCATAAATCCCACTGGTCTCTCTTGGTAATTCAGGAGTAAGATGTTGTAATTAGTCAAATTTTCAGGCACTAGTTGAGAGTTAGCAAGTTAATGCTCTATACCATTGTTCAGGAAAAGATTTCAGCAATTTAATAACATACATTAAATGAATTTTGGTTTCCAAAGGAATGTAGATCTATCACTTTGCAGTTTCAGATGGTGAGTGTGGAAGAACAGGGGTAAAGATGAAGGTACACATCCGGTTATTCTTCCTGTGGTATGGGAGTGACAGGAGGAAGAATGCATGTGCACATAGAACAGGCTCTATCCCCAGAGCTTTGCATTATTCACTATTATAAACCTTGATAACTCCGTGGCCTAGCTAGGATTTTCATCTCCTTTCCATAGGGAAGAAAAGGGGATGCAAAGCTGAACAACT